TATTTTTCAAGTTTTTCATGACTTTTTTTTTTTTTTTTTCTTTGTAAGGTGGCAATATTTCTTCCCTTATCTGACTTGACACCGTGATTTTTGCTTAATTGCGCTAAGGAGTGTGGTTATTTTACAAGGTTGTCTGGGAAGCTTTCTTATCACTGCAAGCATATCCCAACGCCACATTCCTTCCTCCTATACAATGTAACATCTCTTCGCAAAAACCACAAAACCACTCTTGCATCTGGTCACATATATCCTAATCAATGCTTTTCCGTTGAATATCAAGCTATAAATTGTATCCTACCCCCCCCCCCCACCCCCCATTATGCAAATCCAAGAATCAGCTTGTCTTTACATTGTGCATTCCCACAAAGCAGCAGCATACCTCGGTATGTCTGGTACTTCCTGTGCTTATGTTACCAATTCTGATGCAAAAACAACATTTTGGTTCCCACAATTCCCCCCTTTCCTTCTTTTATAAGTTGTTGATTTTTTGCAAAACTCTCTCTAAGGTGTAATTCGGTAGATATCTTCCTCTTCTTCACCTCCTTCGCTTTCCATCTCCTCTAATATCATCATCTGACCTGGGTAGGGTGGTGGCTCCATGGTCATTTGTTTCAATAGTGCTGTTTTAATTAACTGCTGGACCAGTCCTCTCGCACAGGATAATGCAACAACTGATGGCTGTCAAAACTCCTACTGCTACGATCAAGGATGTAAATATGGGCACTACCATCTCTTTCCATTTACCAAACCGAGATTCCAACTATCCTGTGATGGAAGTGTCTGTTCCTGAGTTTTCTGACAATTCATCAGGAAGGGTGGTAAGCCCTTGCAATGCTCTAATTACTGTGCCATCCGGGGCAGTACTTCTGGGGATAAAAGTGCAACAACAGCTGCCCTGCATCACGCACACACCTCCCTTCTCCGTGAGCATCATATCTAATGCTATTCTGTTTTCCCAAGCCATTCTGCTGGTGGCATCTAGTTGTTCAGCAACTCCTCTTATCACATCCCTTGTATGACTTATGAATCTCTGCTGATTATAAAATGTAACAAATCTAATCCACATTCTTGTGGATTGTTACTCACCAGAACAGTGAAGACTCAAACCCTGCAGCAATTTGATTTCTAGCTTTGTGTTCTTTGGGAACTCCTCTAGGCACTCCGATAGAATCTATGTATACTCCTTCATCAAACGATATTCTTAAGGTTTTCTACTTCTTCTATGACGTTTCTCTTTCAAATGCCAGGGTGAAAGGTATAGCTAATTGAACAAGTGCACAGATGCCTCCCCAGTTAGATGGTAGGATGGACTGTAAGATCTTCCCTCTGCTGTACCACCAAAAATCTGCCCTGGGGATCTCAAGTCCTGAGCACTTGCCCACCAAGTCCTTGGCAGCATTCAGGGTCCCAGTGCACAAGGCCAATTCTCCCAGATGCTGGGTAGCACTCACACCCTGCCATGAGAAGCAAGCTGTGTGGTTACCTACAGCTGTGGAGAACACAGGGGGAACCCTGATATCCATGTCACGCACGGAAGGGAATACCAAAGAGAGAGAGAGATTTACAGGCCTCATTTCCCTAGGCAGTCTTGTCTTGGTACAATGCAACCACACGTTGCATCCCCTGGGAATCCTTGGTCCACCCCAATGAGGAGGGCACTATCTGGGCAGTTGGTTGCCCTGAGGCACAAGCTTAGCAGTTGGTATGGTTGAGACTCTGGACTGTAAATCTGACCCATTCTATCCAGGCATTCACATCCCCATACCCTGTTTCAATGTCAAATGTTTGCCTGAGACCTTTTATTTCTTTAACTGCAACAACTGCTGGATTTTGAAGAGGACCTCCTGCTTCCTTCTCAAGTCTCTCCCTATTTTTGGTGACATTAGAGGATGGTTCCCATACAGCCATCCTAAATCCAGCTGTTAGAATTTCCCAGTCACCTCTGCTCCAAGACCAAAAGTACGGTTAATAAGGTCATCAGCCTTATTAATCGTTATAGTTATGGGATTACATTGCAGAGGCTGACAGTTAGACTGAACAGTTCCTTTAAATATGGTATTTTGTCTCTTTAATGCCTTTAAGCTATTACTTGGACTGGGTGCATATGACCACCCTTTATAAGTGGTCGTCCACCGAACATTACTCCATCCTGGGCAAGGGGGTCGGTCCTTTAAACAATCCACTAGTCTTGGATTCAGGGCAGAGACACTTGTTTTAGCTGCTTAGTTGTCGTTGGGCATTTAAATCTCCACAAGCTAGCACCTCACAAGCATCAGACGTGATGGTTTGTGGTACTTCATTCTTTGTCACGTTCACCCATGTCTTGACGGGGTATCCTGCTGCTCCTATTGCCTGGTCATCCTTTCTCCATGTTGTCAATTGACCAAGGCCTTCTTTGAGGCATACAATCACCAGAATCAAAATTAATAATTGACCTCTCCCTGGCATTATTTTTAAATCTTTGGTTTCCAAATAATTATCAATATAAAGAATAAGATGCACACTGTTATTAGAACAAAAACCCCTTGGGGGCACTCCAATTCTGTATAGGCCAGTCCTTTCTCCCTATCACAAGTCACATTCGTTAGTTACCCGTGAAAAATAAAAGGTTGGTCTACAATTATAAGCTTTTATCCCACCTAGAGTCTACTATGAAAATTTTATTTTTAACTTTCAACAAGTCTTCTGGAGGAACAACTTCCCAGGTACTAGGGTTGATGGATGCTTTTGCTAGAGTATAGTGAGTCCAACCTTTTTCCACGATCCTTATGGCCATTTCAGTAGTTAATAATACCTGGAATGGTCCTTCCCATTCAGGCTGGAGTTTTGATTCTCTCTAGGTAAGTATTAGGACCCAATCTCCTGCATGGAATGAATGTATTGGGAATTCCAAAGGTGGGCTTTGCACCAACAGTCCATGGACCCTGAGAGATGTCAAGGAAGAAGACAACCCGAGTACATAGTTTTTAAGAAAAATATCTTGAGTTTCAAAAGTAGGTATCTCACCACTTCTATCCAGGTACGGTAGTCCAAACAACATCTCATATGGCAAAACTCCTATAACTTTCCTAGCAGCAGTCTGAATTCTGAGAAGAGCCAAAGGTAAACATTTTGTCCAGGGAAGTTTAGTCTCTAAAACCAGTTTTGACAGCTGTTTCTTTAATGTCTGATTAATTCGTTCCACTTTCCCAGAGGAGGAAGGATGCCATGGAGTATGAAACTCCCATTTTATTCCCACAGTTCTCATTAATACTTGTAGAGTAGATGAAGTAAAATGACTTCCTTGATTTGAATCTATATTTTCAACAATCCCATATCTAGGGATTATTTTTTCCAGACTATCTTTATCACCACGCTAGCTGTTGCTGATACTGAAGGAAAAGCTTCCACCCATCCTGACAAATGGTCAATTAACGCTAGCAAGTACTTAAGTCTACCCACTTTAGGTAATTCAGGAAAATCTTGGATGCTCTGAAAAGGTCAAAGTCCTGGCTCCTGTCCACCCAGAGGTTGTTTCCACAGAACCTTCTTATTCACTTGTTGGCATGTTATACAACTATTACAGACCTGCTTAGCTGTGTATATATTCCTACACATACATATTTTCTTAATACAGTCACACATTGCGTGGACTCCCCAGTGGCTTCCTTGATGTAGAACAGCTAAAATTTCCCTCGTTACTTGTTTATTTACCATTTCTCTACCATCAGGGAGAGCTCACCGTCCTTCTGCCTCCTTTGTTCCTAGCTCCTTGAAGGCTTCGATTTCTTTTTCACTGAATATTTGGTTTTCAGGTGGAGGTTTTATTTCAGGTACAAGAAGCAGCTTCATTTCTACTTCTGATTGCAAGGCTGATTCTTTAGCCTTTTCATCTGCAATTCTGTTTCCCCATTCAACTAGGGAGTTTCCTTTTTGATGTCTTCTTACATGCACCACAGCAATCCCTTCTGGTAGTAATAGATTTTCCAAAATTTGTCTAATTAATTCTTCATGGACCAATTCCTTTCCCTTGCTATTTATTAAACCTCTTCCTTCCCAAATGTTTCCAAATGTATGTACCACCCCATATGCATGCCTGTTTCTGGGTTTTCCCATTCAAATGCAAAAATATCCCGACTTTCAGGATCCAGTGGGCATGCCCAGAAGGCATCCTTTAAATCTGTAACACTGAACCATTCGTGCTCATAAATAACTTTACTCATCAGAATGTAGGAGTTAGGAACCACAGGGTGGCGTTTTTGTGTTATCTCATTAACCTTTCTCGGGTCTTGCACTAGGTACGAACCATTCAGCTTTTGTACTGGGAAGACTGGAGGGTTATACATGTACATGGAGAGCTCCATTCTCATCCCCTTCACTGGCTGAAGCCCCGGCTCCACTTGCAGCTCTGCTCCTGGCTCCAGTCCTGGCTCCCAGCTCCATCACCAGCGCCGGTCCCTGCCCCGTTCCCATCCCCATTCCCGCTGCTGTTCCCAGCCCTGTTCCTGTCCCCAGCCCTGCTGCCATCCCCACTGCTGTCCCCATCCCCAACCCTGACCTCATCCCTCCCCACCCCCTCTCCCAGCACGGTCGTGAGGCTGTGGATGTGGTCTACCTTGACTTCAGCAAGGCTTTTGACACCATTTCCCACAGCATTCTCCTCAAGAAACTGGCTGCTCGTGGCTTGGACTGGCCAAGTGCCGGGTCCTGCACCTGGGGCGCAATAACCCCAAGCAGAGCTACAGGCTGGGAGATGAGTGTTTGGAGAGCTGCCAGGCAGAGAAGGACCTGGGAGTGATGGTGGACAGTCAGCTGAATATGAGCCAGCAGTGTGCTCAGGTGGCCAAGAAGGCCAACGGCATCCTGGCTTGTATCAGAAACAGTGTGGCCAGCAGGGCTAGGGAGGTGATCGTCCCCCTGCACTCGGCTCTGGTGAGGCTGCAGGGTGGCAGGAGGATGCCCCAAGATGTCCCCCACACACCACAGCCCTAGGCCCCCCCCAGGACCCCCTCCCCAGCACAGGCACTGTGTGACCATCACAGGGGGGGACAACACAGCCCTGCCTGCCAGGGGGGCAGCATCCAAGGGCCCCCATGGGGGCTGTCCTGGAGGGCAAGGACTCCCAGCATCCACAGAGACCCCGCAGCAACGTGCAGCACAAAGGAGTTTATTAGCAGAGCAGCGGTGCCCATGGGGGTAGCCCCCAGCCCCGGCGGGGTGGACGTGGTCACAGCTGCCCCGGGTGCTTGCAGGGGCCCTGGTGGGGGGACAGGGGGACCAGGCCGTGCTGGGCCACGCAGCCCCAAAGGTTCCTGAGCACCTCTATCACGCCGGGAAGGTCCTGCAAGTCCTGCCACAGCAGCTGCAGCAGCAGGGGCACACGCTGCAGGGGAAAGCCTGAGTGAACAGCTCTGTATGGGACACCCCCAGCATGGGGGGACGACTCCAAGGTGTCCCACACCTCCCTGCCCCATGCAGTCCCCTCCAGCCTGAGCTCTGTGGTCCCCTCCACCTCCCCAGGCAATGTCCCCCTGCCCCTCTCCCCGGTCCCCTTTTAACCCCAGGTCTCCCTCCCCCCCTGCCCCCAAGCCCACCCCACCTGAGCCTTGGGCAGAGCCAGCGCCGCATTCGCCATCACCTTGGGGTCCTGCTGGCCCTTGTCGCCCCCTGAAGAGCTGCACCACAGCCTTGTCCTGGGAGGAGGATCCCCCCCCAGTTAAGCTCCATCCTCCACACCTCCCCCCACCTTCACAGGGACCTCCCCCCCTCCGGGACCTCCCCACCTGAGCTGTGCTGGAGCCTGGCGAGGCGCTGGGCAGAGCCTGCACTGGCCCCTCGGGGTCCTGCTGGCCCTCGTCCTCCCTGAAGAGCTGCACCACGATGTTCTCCTGCAGGGGAGGATGCCAAAATCAAGGCAGATGGCAGGGGGGCACTGCCACAAGTCCCAGCCTCAAAAGAGGGGGACCCCAAAGGGCTCAGCACTCACCCAGGGTGGGGCCTCCTCCTTGCTGTCAGCAGCATCGGTGCTGGGGCCACGCTGGGGGGTCAGGGCCAATCTCCACTTCAGGGGGCGCTGCGGGGTGACGCTGCCATCAGCAGGGGAGGGAGGAGGGGCAGGCTTAGACCCCCACCCCCCTGGCTTGTCACCCACCTGGTGGGTGCCCGACACGCAGCTGCGGGGGGTGAGGCGCGGCGTGCGGAAGAAGCGCTCTTTGGACACCTCGAGGCGCTGCAGGGCGAGATGGTGGGGGGGGGATTTTGGGGCGTGGGGCTCAACACTGGTGCCTGCCCCTTAACACCCCCCCCCCCCCCAATACAAACCATGGCCTTGGTGAGGGGCACACGGCGAGCCAAGCCGACGTTGGATGGTCCAGATGCTCTGAGGGGCTCAGCGCCTGCAGGCAGGGGGGGTCCTGAGCCTCGGCACGGCCCCCCCAGGGCAGTGTGGGGGCAGGGGGGGAACAGGGGGTGTACCTGGGGTGCTGCTTTCATTCGAGGGGATGTCTGGGAATAGGGATGTGCTCTCCTGGGTAAGGAGGGAACCTGGTGGTGCAGCCTGGGCCCCCCCCACGGTTTGTGGGGGCCCCTGTGCTCCCCGGGCAGCTCCTGTGGTGCCCCTGGCCAAGGGGACGCGGGCGGGCACTCTGCGGGCCAGGCAGGGTTTGCCCCCAGTGGCTCCCCCCACCTCACTCAGCTGCTCGCTGGGCAGGACAGGGGCCAGCACAGCCGGAGGGGTCTCTGTGGGGAAGGATAGACAGAGTTATGGGGTGGGGGGTCACAGCCATTGGGGGGGGGGCAGCACCCAAACAGCTGGGGCCTGCAGGAGGTGGGGTGGGGGGCACCCACCTGCCTTCACCGCTGCAGGGGGCTGCTGGTCCGTGTGTTTTTTGAGGCTACAGAGGCAGGAGAGGATTTAGGGGTAGGGTTAGGAACCACCCCCCAAAAAAAGACAAACAGCGGGGGAGGGGGTTGCCGGGGGGCATTGTCCTGTGCATGGCTCGATCGTGGCAGGAACCGAGCACCTCCGGGACAGCCCCAAAGCCGGACCCGGTCCCGGGAGGGACGTCCCGGCACCGGCCTCTCCCCTTCTCCACCTCCTTCCCACCCCGGGGGGCTCCCCCCTCCCTCCCCTCACCTGCGGGACCGGGCCCCGGCCGCCTCCTTCGGGGCTTCACCGCGGGGCCCAAGACCCGGGGCGGCGGCAGGGAGGGCGCGGGGGAGCGGGGGGGCCCCGGGAACCCGAAGGGAGAAACCGGAGGCGCGGTCGAGGAGGCGCTGGAGGGGCCGCGAGGCCTGCGGGGAGCGGGGCGCGGAGCGGCGGCGGCTCCGGGCGGCGGCACCGGGGGCGCTCCCTTGGGTGCGGAGGGAGCCGAGGCGCAGCGGGACGCGCCCGGCCAGAGAGGCCCTGCCGGCGCCGCCGGGCCCAGCCTTGGGCCGCGCTCCCGGTACGGCTCCCGGTGCCGCTCCCGGGCCTCTGAGGATCGCGGCCAGCGCCGCCGGGTCCGCCTGGAACGGGGGCGTCCCGCGGGGCTCCGCGGCCCGGCTCTCGCCGCCGCCGGGGAGGCCGCGAGACGCCATGGGGGCTCCGCGCCCTGCGCCCAGCCCTGCCGGGACCCCCTCTGCGGGCCCCGCTCCGCGCGCCGCCGGTTTACAAACCAACGGCGGCGGGGATTGGTCCCCGCGCAGGGCGGGGCGGGCCAATAGGAGGCTTCGCGACGCAGGCGGCGCGGGCGGGATTGGTCAGCGCCGCTCAAGCACCGCCCCCTCTCAGCTGCCCCGGCAGGGAGGGGCCGACCATAGAGAGGAGGCGGCGGCACAGCGCCCCCCTGCGGACGGGGGGAGAGCGGCGGGCGCGGGAGGGGTCGGGGGGCCCGGGCCCGGGCCCGCAGAATCACAAAATGACAGAATTACAGAATTAGAGAATCACAGAATTTCTAGGTTGGAAGAGACCTCAAGATCATCGAGTCCAACCTCTGACCTAGCACTAACAGTCCTCCACTGAATCATATCCCTGAGCTCTCCATCTAAACGTCTTTTGAAGACTTCCAGGGATGGTGACTCCACCACTTCCCTGGGCAGCCTGTTCCAGTGTCTAACAACCCTTTTGGTAAAGAAGTTCTTCCTAACATCCAACCTAAACCTCCCCTGGCGCAACTTTAGCCCATTCCCCCTCGTCCTGTCACCAGGCACGTGGGAGAACAGACCAACCCCCACCTCTCTACAGCCTCCTTTAAGGTATCTGTAGAGAGCGATAAGGTCACCCCTGAGCCTCCTCTTCTCCAGGCTGAACAAGCCCAGCTCCCTCAGCCGCTCCTCGTAGGACTTGTTCTCCAGGCCCCTCACCAGCTTCATTGCCCTTCTCTGGACGTTTATGCGGTGCTGGGCAGCACAGGGGGTTGTCCCACCAAAGTCGTGAGTCGTGCTCTCACAACGCGGCAACTTGCCGTGGTTATAGGCAATAAAGAGTTAGATATGCGTGAAGTTTCACAGCAAGCCCTTCTGAACAGTTTGTAGCCATCAACAGCCATGCTGCAGTCATGTGAATCATCCCGCCAGATTTCTGTGATGGCAACTACATCAAAGTTTCCTCTAGCACGGTGGCCTCCAGCTCCTCCTGGTTGTTACCCATACTGCGTGCATTGCTGTAAATGCACCTCAGCTGGGCCACCTTTTGGGACGGAAAAGCCCTAATAGCCTCTTGACCATACTTGGGTGTTTCCATAGTTAACCAACCCTTGTGTCCTTCCTGCTGAATGTTATGCCATCCTCCTCCTTCACCAAGACACTGACGCGCAGAAAAGACTCCACAACCATGGTGTTGTAAAGTAGGCATACTTTATTGCGGTGCACTGGGCGCACTGGGAATAGGTTCCCTCAAAAAGTGCACGCCTGCCCGGTCGTCTCTCACAACCTTCTACATGAATACTGTTACATGTGACATGAGCTCTAGTACATATTCATTATTTTCCCTGAAAAGGCAGACCTCTTCCAAGTACTCATTTCCATCCTCCCCGCCCTCAGCTCCTCCTGGTTGTGCCTGCGCAATGTAGCCTGGTGGTCGTGGGCAGGGGGCTTTCAGGATGAAGGCAACGAGGAAGAAGAGGTTAAATGTTTTACCTTTCTGGACTTTGACCTTCTGTTGGACAGTATTTAGAAGTTTTTTGTTTATCTTTGCCTTATTTCCTGCCAACAAGTTGTTCGTCCTTCCCTCATCCGTTGGCCTTGAGCGATATCTTCCTTTTTACATCTGCTCCTCATAAGGTTCTCATCTACATCCCAGATAATTAGGATATTTTACCATATATGTAGCTAAATATTAATTTGGATAAGTTTTAGCATCTTCCCCATCTCAACACAAGACTGCAAGGTCTTGCTAGCACATTCCTCACCCACAAGAACTGGCAGGTTACATTCAGGCTCCACTCTAGTGACCCCGCTTCCACCCCCACTTCATACCTAGTCTAAAGCTCTGTCAATGAACCTGCCAACTCTCATCCTAAAACCCTTTTCTGATGGTGGAATAAGCTATTTCTGTCTGTTCTCAGCAGGCCTGGTCTCGTGTAAATCGAGCCAAGGTCAAAAAACCCAAACCCCTGCCAGTGATACCAGGCTTGAAGCCAAGTCTTAATCCCATAGCTCATTACGTCCAGTCCCTCATTACTTCCTATAACTGGAGGGATAGAGGAGAACGCGACTTGCGCTCCCGAACCCTTGGGAGTCTCCCCAAGGCTCTGAAGTCCTTCTTCATAGTCCTTAGAGAAGGTTTCATCACTGCCTACCTGAAACAACAAAAACCTCCTTTTTATGGAGGAGGTTTTAATGCAGTGGGTAGTCTGATTAGACTTTGGTGACACCTCCACGTAGGAAGAGCCATCACCCTCACCATTGTCCAGTTGTCCTCGCAGAGCAATGTACCTGTTCTGCAGGGGCAGCTGGGGACGTAGGGGAACCACCGGGCTGGTGTACCTGTTACGTTTGTAATACTGACCTCAGTCTTTTGCCATTGCCCCCTGTCCCCCAGTTCATCACCATCATTGTTAAGGGGGTGATGTGCTTCTCACGGAGCCTCTGCTGGCTGCCTAAGCCTCAGGGCTGCTAGGGATGGGCTCCACCAATCTATCTCCCTCTCCCTCTCCCTAACGCTCCTCAGCCTCCCCACCTCTTCCTTCAGGTCAGCCACAAGGCTGAGTAAATCATTCACCTGGTCGCATCTGATGCAGGAGTTGTCTCTGCTGCCCTGCACTGCAAGGACCAGGCTCTGGCACTCGCATCCCGAGATGCATCCCGTATCTGGCACTCGCTGCAGCCCGAGCCCTGTGCACTCCCATGTTTGTGCGGGGCCTCTGTCTGGGTCTCCATTCATTTTTCTTGACAACAGCCTTCTGCTGGGGTCCAAGCATGGCAAACCAGCAGGCTCGCTAGAACTCCCTGTGGCAGCTTCCTTGCTAAAATTATAAGTTGTAAGAGGCAGAGTTCCCAGAGGAGAGGGGAGGAAGAGAAAGGGAGGGGGAAAGGGAGGAGAGGATACTCCCCATGCTCCTCCCTGCCCCGTGGAAACTGTCTGTGCTAACTGCCAAGCCTGTCCCGTTTGGGCGTCCTGTTCGCAGCATTCCTGGGTCATGGCCCTCCCTAGGGTCTGCTTTTATCCTGTCAGGGTGTTGCTGCCTTGGCGAGTGGCTGCAGAATGGCAGCGACACCCAATTTCAAACTCAGAACACCCCTGCAGCCCCCTCCGGCTACCAACGCCTTGTCACGTAAACCCAGTGCACTGCTTCAGGGACCACCCTCAGGGTTGGCTGAAACACATGAAACTGAGCTGCCACATCTTTCTAACGCTATTATTCGTGTTTAAGAAATTCCTGTGGCTTTTCTATCTGCCCATGAACCTGCACTCGATAGATGCAGGTGTATTCTGGGTTTCCCCAGTTGCTTCGCACCTCCAATCTGATATGGCGGAACGTTTTGGGAGGCTCCTTCTGCAAAGAAAACGAGGGGAAGCATCATTACTCACGGGGGAAGAGCCGCTGCACAATTATGAAGCTCTCTTTGCCAGCACTCCCCTTGCTGCAGAGCAAATGGCAGCCCCGACAGAGGAGGAAGCGAGGGAAATCAGAAGGCCCTTTCTCACCAGGGCCATAGAGGCCCCCTCTGTGCCTAGAAAGCAAAGCCCTGGCCTCAGAGGCTTGCTGAGGGGAGTTGTGGAAAGCCAAGCTGCTCTGCTCCCTAGGCTGCTTTGGGACACTGGGACGGTCTTGCTGCTGGAGACACGTCTGCAATCTTCCCTCTCACCAGCAATTCTTCCTCCTCACCCTAAAGGGGACTAATTCCCTGCCAGAGCCCCTTCCCACTGCTGCTTTTTCTGCTTGACCAGAAAGAAAGGGAAAGCACTTCCAAAGGTGGGCTAACCACCTCATCTTCCCAGCAGGAGCCAGCCACATGGGAGAGCAAAGAGTGGCTTGGGTGATCATCTGAACCCTCTCTTCCAGAGACTTGCAGACAACCCGTCCTTTCTCCCTGCCATCCTGCCCACATGTACTTGCCATACCTGCACATGGAAGGTCTGAGCAATCATTCCGTCCACGTCGTAGGTGAATAGCCCAAGGAGCATTTCCGCTTTGTCCTCATCCCACTCCCTCAAAGACAAGAGATGATGGGGGCAGGTCAGTCTCAAGCAGGCCATCAGAAAAAGGAAGATGCTGAGGCCAAAGCTGGGAATCCTTTCCCACCTTCCTTGGCTCTAGCAGTATTCTAGTACAAGTGATAGTGAACCCAAGTCAGGGCACTTGGAGCAATTGTTCCCAGATCCTTGTCTGTGAACCACAGAAGAAGGTTCCAGACGTGTCTAACAATGCTCAAGCGTCTCCTGTGCCTCTCGATAGGATGCGGTGCTCTGCAGCAACCAATCCTCAGATATCTGAGGGAACACACCACGCTTTCTGGCGCTGCTTTTCCTTGGGGCCAGGGCCTCCCAAAAAGAAGTGCCAGGCAGAGACTTACAGAGACAGCAAACGCCTTGGGGGCGCTGCTGACTTCTCTGGAAGGAGAGACTGGCCTGGAGATATGCCAGATGGTAAAAGCTGCTGGCCAGATTGTCACCGGCAACCGAATGACGACGTGTCCCTGAGATCCTCGGAAGGCCCAGCAGTCGCCTGGGGAGATCCTGGGCTGCAACGAGAAAGCCAGTGACTGTCAGTGGCAAGGCAGTCAGCGAGCGAACAGATCTGGCTGTTCAACAAGGAGCCACAGACCTTGCCTTCTCTATAGGTCGCAACTCAGCTCACAAGTAAACGCTAGGGCTATGAACAGAAGGTGAAGATGCACCAGTTTTGAGAGTGTCTAGGCTCAATTGCCTTTCGCAATCCAGTTCTGCTTTCTCAAAGGCAGAGGTTTGAGAGGCTTTCTCAAAGGCAGAGGCAGGGTGGTGTTCCTAATGTACATGTATGCCACTTCATCACCCTTCAAAAACTGAGCTGGACCTGTGAGGACCATTTCAGGCATTCTTCAGGCTGATTTGGTTGACCAGATCAGTGCTGGGGGGCCCAGAGAACATCTCTTGCAGCTTCCATGGCTCGGCACACCCCCAGAACTCCCACCCATGCCAGAAACGCATGGTCTCCCAACCAGAAAGCAAGAAAGGAAACCAGCTGTCACAATTTCTCTTGCAATACCTGCAATATAGTCTCTGGATGTTTTGCAAAAGAAAAGAGTGGAAAAGTCCACCACTTCTTTGCGCCTTTCCCACCACAACTCTTGGAAGTCCTCTGCACATCAATTGTGGCACCTGAAATGAACATGGAAAGAAGTTCACTAGGACAGGCAGAAGATTAGCAGAAGCAGTGAATTATGATGTGTTTCTCAGGCTGAATGCAGAGCTTGTTGCTATGGGTAGGGTCAGGCACGAGCTGAGTGCAGTGAACTCTGTCTGCATACCTAAGGATTTCAGGGCCCAGTCAGGCATCCAGGTGTAGATTTTAAGCACCTTTTCAAATGCGTTCCTTGTGAAGTGCAGAATGTTCTGGGAAAAAAAAATAAAATATGGAGATACAGCAGTGAGCACAAACACACAGCAGTTCTGCATGAGCAGACTTGTAGTAGAGAGCTAAGGGCTCCATGTGAGAAAACCCAAGGCAAGACCTGTCAGAAAAGGTGCCAGACTGTGAGCATTCCCAGATGAACCAAGTGAAGCCTGGCAAAGGCCACCAGTGTCCAGAGCCAAAGCACAGAGCGCCTTCAGGTTCTGCCTGAGAGCTGTAATACATATACCATAGATGTTTGTTCATTGTCTTTTGTATTATAAAACAAAGAGTTTTGTTTGAGGAGCGGGAGTTGCAAAGGTTTCCTGCTGAAGTAAGGAGCTGTATAATGCTTAGCTAGACACTATGAAAATTCCATTGCTTAATGTAACAAAAAAGAGAATCCTCTCCCCTTCCCTCCTTCTGCATCTCAGTAGCCTCTTTTGTTCAGAAAACACAGCTGCAAAGTTCATGTAACCATCTCCTGATAAGTTGTTAAACTAGTGTATCAACATCCTGCCTTCCTGTCTCACGCTGGGCCAACATGACCAAATAAAGAAAGAAGTTGAACCACAACGCCGAGGAAGACTACGGCCTTCATCTTCACGACCACCAGAGGGACAGAGACGACCCCCTAGCAACAGTGCGCGCAGTCGCAGAATACACCAAGATGTGCTGCGTAATCCTGAAATCACCAAGATATAAAAAGGGACCCTGGGGGGGGTAAGGTGCGCGCCGTTGGCAGAGCCGAGACTCCCCGGCCGCCCAGCGCTGTTTTGCTTGCTGTTGCTTACTCAATAAATTCCTTTCTATTATTAATGCAATGCTCTCTGAAAATTAATTAAGAGGGAGCTTATAACAAATTTGGTGCCGTGACTCGGATGAAGGCAATCTGATTGAAAGACCTTCGGAGGGGGCGCCCCGCTGATTTCAGCGGCCTCCGCTAGGACTACTTTCATTCAAATCCTTCACCAACGAACCCTAAATTCGGCAGCAAGCAAATAAAGCCGGCAACCCCTAGTAATCTTTGTGCACGAAGACCGAACGAAGACTCAGGAGTGAGTAAGTATAGGCCGGTGATCCGTTCGGTTGGGGTTGGGTATCCTGGAGCGTAGCGTTGTGAGACGTCCAATTGCGGACGAAGCGAGTGCGGACCCCTCGGTAGTGCGGTTCCCACATCCCGCGAGGGACTGGGCCACGAAAAGGGGGAAGCGATTTGTGTGTGTGTGTGTGAAGGCGCTCCAGAAGATGGGACAGAAGAAGAGTAAGCCTTCTGGTCCCATGGGCGGGGTAACGACAGATGTTAGGTTACCCCCTATTCCTCCAGACAGTCCTTTAGGATTAATGATCAAAAATTGGGATGATTCCCCTTTTAGGCGGGGAAAAAGTAAAGTAAAAATGATACATTATTGCATTGAAATTTGGGGTGGTAAACAGATTCGAGACCACCTTTACTGGCCTGTATTTGGGTCCTTTGACGATTGGGTTTGCCAGGCCTTAAATATTTATGTGAACTCAAAGGAACCCTTTAGTTTAGAAGAGAGTGAGTATGCACATTTGTGGATCAGTTCAGAAACTCAGACCAAATTATACCCTCTAAAAGAAAAAGGAGGGGACGGGAGGCGTAAGAAAAACCAAGAATTAGAGATCCCGGCCTCACCGCCTCCCTATGTTTCACCAACCCCACCTGCAGCCCCTCCGACTCCCGGGCCTCTTAATCCGCAGCCCCAGGGAGATGCTGACAGCGACTCTGACTCTAGTGTTCAGGGACCAATAACTAGGAGTCAGGCTAGAAGACAGCAGCTTAGAAACAAAGAAGGATTGTATCCACTAAGGGAAATAGCAATGGGAGGACCACAACCCGGTATGGGATATGTGGCCATCCCTATGAACTCTGGAGATGTCCGAGACTTTAAGAAAGAAATGGGAAACCTATTGGAGGACCCCTTAGGGGTGGCAGAACGAGTAGATCAGTTCTTAGGGCCCAATATCTACACCTGGGAAGAAATGCAATCTATTTTAGGGATATTATTTACATCGGAAGAGAGAGGAATGATTAGAAAAGCTGGAATGCGAATTTGGGATCAGCAACACCAGCAAGGTCCTGCAGCAGATGTTAAATGGCCATTACAGAAACCCAATTGGGATAATCAGGACCCCATACATCGTGGCCACATGCAGGACCTTAGAACCATTATCATCCAGGGAATTAGGGAATCAGTCCCAAGAGGGCAAAACATTAATAAGGCCTTTAATGAGCAGCAAAAGAAAGATGAAACTCCGACAGAATGGTTGGAGAGATTACGAAAAAGTTTGCAACTGTACTCGGGATTAGATCCAGGAACCCCTGTGGGAGAGGCTTTGCTAAAAACTCAGTTTGTAGCAAAGTCCTGGATAGACATTAGGAAAAAATTAGAGAAAATAGAAGATTGGCAAGACCGAGGTCTAGACGAATTGCTAAGGGAGGCACAGAAAGTGTATGTAAGGAGGGAGGATGAAAAGGAGAAGAAGCAAGCACGAATAATGATGGCCGTGATGCGGGAGGGGCAGAGAAGAGGCGAATACAGAAAAGATTTAAGGGTGGTTCGCCAAAAACTAGAGGGAGAAGGGAAAGTGACAGGAGGATTGAGGAATGTGACTTGTTTTTACTGCAATAAGAAAGGTCATAAGAAGAAGCAGTGTCGACTGAGAATGGAAGATGAGAAGATGTTTAAGGAAGACTAGGGGTGTCAGGGGCTCTATCTGCTGGGGACCCGAAAGAAAACTGAGCCCTTGATAAAGTTAAAAGTAGGTCCCCAGCGTGAGGAAATTGAGTTCCTCATAGATACAGGGGCTGAAAGATCTACAGTCCAAAATTTGCCTTTAGGATGTAAAATCTCAACAGAAAAGGTTCAAGTAATTGGAGCAAAAGGGGAACCCTTTGGGGTCCCTGTTATCAAAGAGGTGTTAATTGAATCGGACTCTAAATTAGGGGTGGGATCCTTACTCTTAGTGCCTGAGGCAGAATATAACTTGTTAGGGAGAGACTTAATAGTAGAATTAGGCATAAGTTTAGAGGTAGTAGATAAAGAGCTAAAAATTAGGTTGTGTCCTCTGAGAGCGGAGGACGAGCAAAGAATAAATCCTGAAGTCTGGTACACTCCAGAAAGTGTAGGAAAATTAAATATTAAACCTTTCAAGGTAACTATAACTAACCCAGGTGTACCAACGAGAATTAAACAATACCCCCTGTCTGAGGAAGACAGGCAAGGGTTAAAACCTGAAATTCAAAGGCTACTACAACAAGGGTTGCTAGAACCTTGTATGTCTCCGTTTAATACTCCAATATTACCAGTAAAAAAGAAAGATGGCAATTATAGGTTGGTACATGATCTAAGAGAAATTAATAAGAGAACTGTGACCAGATTTCCTGTCGTGGCAAATCCCCATACCCTATTAGGTCAATTGCACCCAGATGATCAGTGGTATAGTGTAGTGGATTTAAAGGATGCATTTTGGGCATGTCCTCTGGAGGAAGGAAGTAGGGATTATTTTGCCTTTGAATGGGAAGACCCAGATACCCACCGAAAGCAGCAATTACGGTGGACTGTGCTTCCTCAAGGATTCACTGAATCGCCTAATTTATTTGGACAAGCCCTGGAGCAAATTTTACAAAACTACGACAAGCCACCAGGAATAACATTAGTACAATATGTAGATGATTTGTTATTAGCAGGGAAAGACGAAGACACTGTTAGGCAGGCCAGCATACAGCTGTTGAATTTTCTTAGCTTGCAGGGACTGAAAGTCTCGAAATCGAAGCTGCAGTTTGTAGAACAAGAGGTAAAATACTTGGGCCACCGACTAAGTGAGGGAACTAAGAAATTAGACCCAGACAGAATCAGCGGGATATTGGCTTTAACGACCCCACAAACTAAGAGGCAGGTACGACAATTATTAGGGTTAACTGGCTATTGTAGACAATGGATTGAAGATTACAGCGGCAAAGTTAAATTTCTTTATAAAAAATTGACTAAGGATGGGTTGCTAAAATGGACCAAAGAGGATGAAAAACAATTAGAAAAATTAAAAGAAGAATTAGCACGCCCTCCAGTGCTGAGTCTTCCGGATCTGAGGAGACCGTTTTTCTTATTTGTTAACAGCAATGAGGGCACTGCATATGGAGTATTAGCCCAAGAATGGGCAGGGAGTAAAAAACCTGTGGCTTACCTATCCAAATTGCTGGACCCAGTTAGTCGGGGCTGGCCAAGTTGTTTACAGGTAGTAGTAGCGGCTGCCTTATTAGTAGAAGAAGCACAGAAAATTACCTTCGGAGGAGAAATCAAGGTGATATCCCCACACAATATCCGGGGAGTACTACAGCAAAAAGCAGAAAAATGGATCACAGATGCTAGGTTACTAAAATATGAAGGAATTTTAATTTCCTCCCCAAAACTAACATTAACAACAACTTCCCTGCAAAATCCTGCTCAGTTTCTTTATGGGGAACCAAGTGAGCCCTTAGAACATGATTGCCTCCAAAATATAGAAGAGCAAACAAAACTGAGACCTGATTTGGAGGAAGAAGAGTTACTTATAGGGGAACAGATATATGTGGATGGTTCTTCACGAATAGTGGAAGGGAAGCGGAAATCGGGGTACGCATTAGTGAATGGGAAAACTTTTGAAATAGTTGAATCCGGACCTTTAAGTCCAAGTTGGTCTGCCCAGGCTTGCGAATTATATGCTGTACTGCGGGCCTTAAGACTGTTAAAGGGCAAAAGTGGTACAATATATACAGATTCAAAATATGCATACGGGGTAGTACATACATTTGGTAAAATATGGGAAGAGCGAGGGCTCATTAATTCACAGGGAAAGGGATTAACACACCAAGAACTGATTACCCAAGTCTTACAGGCTATCAGAGAACCTAAAGAAATTGCTGTAGTACACATTAAAGGACACGGGCGGGGCCTCACCCCTCAGATCAGAGGGAATAATTTGGCAGACCAGGAGGCTAAAAGAGCGGCACTAATGACCATGCGAATTACAAAAACAAGGGAAGACTGCTCAGACTGCGGGAATGATTTAATGAAATTTCCATGCGATGATTATGAATGGGGTGACGGGAAGAAACATACACATTGTTACCATCATAGGCCAATTTATACTCTGTTTAGCTTCACATTACAAGAAAAGAGCAAAATGATTCAAATGGGGATAAAAGAAACAGATAAAGGCAAATGGGTGCTGCCTGATGGACGCGAAATGCTTTCAAAATCCGCAGCTCTGAGGGTATTACAAAGATTTCACGAAAACACCCACTGGGGAACTCAAGCATTGGTGGATCAATTTGCAATAAAGTATATGTGTATTGGAATTTATAATATAGCCAAACG